GCAAAGGGCAAGACGCAGGGAGGAGCATTCCAGCGCCGGGGAATCCAGAGCTCACCAGCCCAGATGGGGCCTCTGTTCGAGCCACATCACTCCCCGTGTACTGACATCTGTGCAGCCAAGAGGCTGCCGGTGCCCCGCTCAGTGGGCTGCAGGGAGACTCAACCAAAAGCCTTTGCTCACAGGGGCCTCCCCATAACTCTCCAGCTAAGCCTCAGGTGGCTCTTCTTACCCCAACAGTGTGGACTGTGTGCTCCCAAGCCATTTCCATCAGCCCATGATGACAGAAGCTGAATCCGGAATTCTGGCTCCTTTACCACTTACACCCGGGACAAGTTGTGGACTCAGTTTTCCTCATCTGTATATCACTGGTAAGAAGAGCCAAATGGCACACCGCTGGTAAATGGGGCTGTGTAGACAAAGTACCAGGCCTGGAACGCAGCGAGCTACTTAGTAAACATGGGTTCTCTTCCCTCTCTCGACACACAGTTCAAATCAGGACTTCTTATGGTCTGAGTGCAAGCAAAGAAAAATCAGCCCGTGTGTCCCCATGGCATGGGGGCAGGGAAAATTAATGGCCACAAAGTAGCCAGAGAACATCAAGCCTTCAATGAACCTTCCAAAATCCTCTGCACCTCAAGCATCGCAGCTAGCCCCCACTGCACCCCCTTTTTCCTATGAAAGAGGAAGTGAGAAGAGCTATAGGGCTTAGGAAAGCACAGAGGAGCCACCGGCATGCTAGCATCTACCCAAGGGTCACAGGTTCACTGGAGGGGGCCGCTGGCCCTCAAAACTGGAACCTCAACTTCCCTCGGCCACCTCCTACTGGAGCAGAAGAGTCCCAGCCGGCGCCAGGTAAGCATCCTGTAGCTGACTGTGAAGCCTGTTCCCATCTCATTGGGAATCTCAGACTTGGTCCCTACACCGGCTGCAAGAACCCACGGTGGTGACTTCACCGGAGTCTTTTTAGAATTTTCCTTTGGCATCATCTGTGTCAAGCGCAATCTTTAGAAACTTCCTCTCCTGCCTCCCGGAGGCAATAATTCACATGACCAGCTCCCTTCACCCAAGCAATGATCTTGTGAAGCCCAGCAATCACATGACACCTCCCAGGACGGCAGTTCTGCCAGAGACAGCAGTCATTCCACCCAAAGCTGTCTTCTCTAAGCTGACATTTGGGTTCCTTGCTCAAACAAATCCATGTTCCTAGAAAACTGGACAACTGCCTTCTACCTGCCCGTCCTTCTAGCTGACTTCTTCTTGGCTGTAAATACCACACCCTAAATAAGGGAGACTGAGTCCAGTGGGGGCTGAAGTCCCCTCCCATAGGTAAGATGTGAGCTTGACACTGAGCCCCAGTGGACTCAGGGTGCAGGTTGCTGGGAGGCTGCAGCTCAATGGCCATACACCCCTCCCTTCCTCACCGAGAATCTCATTCTCACCTCCCAAGACTTAACACTATGAAGTTAACCTATGGTCCTCCACTGCTCCCACCATTTCAGGTTACGGATGCTGAATGGGTTGGAATAGAAGGTTCATCTTTATCATTTTATAGATAGTTTTTAAAAGTCAGGGTGGAGAAGGGGGGATAGATAGGCTCTTAAGAAAGGTGCTGTCATCCCCCAGCCAGAGCCCAGGAAGGGCAGGCTGCTGGGTTGAACACTTGTCAGTCACTACCCATTTGCCTGGGACTGAACCATAGGGGCCTGGTCAGAAAGAGGTCTAGGGTAAGCATTTAGATATTAATCTGGGCCCAGCTTTCTGGACTTCAGAGAGATGCCTGTGGGCTCCCAAGTCCTGGAGGATGGCAGGGCAAGACTGGGGCACTGGCGAGGCAGGAGAAAGAGACCAGGCCCCAGCACCACTCACAGGAGAGAGGAGAAATGCATCAGTTGGCCCTGAAAGGACCCAACAGTGACTGAAAACTATGAATGGGGAGGGGCACTTGGTGGGCTCCCGGGGATCAGGGGAACCTCCTGGCTGCCCCACCTCTTCCAGCTTGCCTGTTCTCTCTTCCCTGGGGCTGGTTCTCTCGCCCCTCTTTCTATGCTGCTATCGGACGCCAGGCTCTAGGCAAACGTCGGTGAAGAGGGAATGCCGAGAATATCTTTACCTCCCTGCAAAAGCAGGGTGGTACAGAGATCCCTATGCTCATAACACCGATCCAAGAAGACGCTAAACAAGGCCCCCTTATCTCCCTCCCCAGCCATGTCTCTGACCTTCCTATCCTTCCTGGAGAGACCCGGGATTTTTGCAAAACCCTTTTAAGATGCAGGACTCCTGAATGGTGACCTCACTCCTTGGCCAACCGGCCTTCAGAGCCCTCCTGCTGGAGACAGCCAGGTGTTTGATGTAGACCAACAAAGAATACAAGCTCAGAGCCACAGGTACATGCGGGAACTGCAGGGAGCTTCTGGAAGCCTGCCTAAGGAAGGCAGGAGGGCAGCAGGAGGAGATCATCCAGGGAGAGGCTGTGCCACCACAGGTAAACCCACTGTGTTTCCCAAGGGTCTGCTGGTTACCCAGGCCTCTCTTCCTTCCCCCGACACCTCCATATACTAACAGCGCTTGTTCTGGTACTAGGGGGAGAGCTCACTCTTCCCTCATCCCAACAGTCCAGCAGCGCGGGAGGACCTCTGCCCCCCACTCTCTCTCCAATCAAGTCTAGCAAGGGAGCTACTAGGGAAGCCAGGCGCCCTACTGCCGAAAGCTATTGCCAGCCTACCTCCTCATTCGGGTTGGGCAAGGGGTACGGTAAAAACCAACTCATTCCTATACCTTGCTGCTCAGCGCAGGGCTACCCAGTCACAGTCCACAGGGCAGATCCGTAGAAGAAGAGTTCTATCCTGGCTTCTAGCCTTGGCTATGTGACCTTGGGCAAGTGGCTGACCCTCTCTGGGCCTCAATTCTGCATCTGTAACCCCAGTTACAGGCATCCGTCGACATGAGCTGAGCGGCAGTGTGCGGGGCCTGAGCCCGCAGCTTGGGGA